AGCCCGATGCGGGACTCGATCCAGGGACTCCAGGATCATGACCTGAGCCGAAGGCAGTCGCCCAACCAACTGAGCCACCCAGGCGCCCCAAAGTTTTATTTTTTAATGACACGAAGAGAGCTCGACTGTAGATTAAAGAGGAAGTCTTTCAGAATTATTTTTGTCAGTTCCTCAGAGACATAGTATGAATTGTTAAGTTGAGGGTTTTCTTTGCAGATGTTGGAGTTGCAGAGATGATGTGGTCTAAGATCTGCACTACCACCATTCCACATACACCATAGATGGTGTATCTAGTGGGTGGATTCCAAGAACAAAGTTTAGGGAAGGAAAAAAAAAACCCCTCACCATTACCGATGTTAAACATTGTAGAAAGCACAATACCGTAAAACGTCTCCTTTCTGATTCAGAAGGCATGATGCTGTCTGATATTGTACTTTCAGTACAGTACAGTACTTTACTGTACTTTCTTACGTACGTAGATACGTAGATGCCGTATCTCTATGAGCGGGAGTGTAACTTGGCCCCATTGCTTGGCCTGGTTTTATCGGATGCTCTTTAGAACTTGAGTGGAAGTAAATGCCGCATCTTAAAGGAGGGGAACCCAGAGGCCCTTGCCGAAGCTCTCTGCATGGACTCTGCTCCAAGTGCATCTCACAGCCTAAGTGCTGCCACTCACACACGCTTGCCTCGGCTTTCCGTGGCAACTCTGGACATCCTGTCATGAAGGCTGCTTAGAGAAGCCTTCTGTTGGATAGAAGCATTGTGCAGACTTTCGGTTTCCGGTGCTTAGGGAATTTGCATCCAATAGATCACAGAGGCTAGAAATTGAGGAAATAAGCATTTGGTCAGGGACCATTCTGTGACGTGACCTACCTGCCCGTGAGCATGGCAGTGGTGGCCACACGCATACGGGCCACCAGCCATGCCCGTCGCTGTGGTGGTCAGCGATTCTGTCCTCCCCTAACCCGCCGGAGCACATACTGTCCTTATCCTGATTTTACAGTTGGAGGAAACTTGCCAAAGCAAGGGTCATAGCTTGCTTGAGGGCCCGCGGTTCATAGGTAGCGGACATGGGATTGGAGCCCACCTGCGCGGAGTGCGCGTGATTCTCTTCGCCACAGCTGTGTTGCTGTTCCCCTCTTGAGGAGCGCTAATGACCGCGGGGACATCCATCAGCCGACAGGGGTTTGAACCCTCCCAGGAACGGCTCTCAAGCTTCGTCACTTGTCTGGGCCCAGCCTTCCTCCTCTAGAGAGTACAGATAATAAGACGACCTGTGGGGAGATGCTGAGAGGAATCATTGTCACACGTTCGTGGCTCAGTCCGGAGAGTGGTACCCAGTCTGTGGTAGATGCTTAATAAACATGTACTGAGTGGGTGATTGTAATTTGCTAAGCACATACTGCAGCCTCCTCTGGGAGAAACCCGGGTGGGGACAGAGCAGAGATGCATGTGAGGAGGGAAAGGTAACATTTTGAATTCTAAGTGTTCCTCATGCTGTCGTGATACAGAATAGTGCTAATAAGTAAAGTGTGTCCCTGCTGATGGCTGCAGGGCTTTCTCAGCTTACAATTTTGACATTACTTAGGAGCATAAATAATCAGATGCATACTTTATAGACATAGCATTTGGTGTGCCCTTAACATGCCGTTGGGCTTTCTGGGCTTGCGTTAGCCGGCTCTGTGGTCTGTTGGACGTTCCGTTGGGTCAGTAACCTACCTGGCCTGTATCAGCCAGGGAAGCGGGGAGAAGGTGCTCTGCAGGACACCTGTAAGAAAGAGCTTTGGTCCGAATTTGCAAAAAAAAAAAAAAAAAAAAATTAGAGACAGCCTGAATGCCCATTGATAACAGGTTGCTTCCATGAATTACGGTACTTCCCACTGTGAATCTCAGGCATTACATTGTTCTAAGGAATTTCCCTAGTTTTGTGTTGTTGAATGAAAAAGCAAGTCAGGGAGGAATATGTATAAGGTGAGCCCGAATTTGTGGAAACAAAACAAATCAAAGTTTAACAGTAATGAATAAAAACACTATGTGAGAGGGGGAAGGAGAGAGAGGGCGGGAAAGAGAAAGAGAGAACGAACTGTTAATTGCAGGGAGTGGGATTGAAAGAAGGCAGCTGGAGACGGAGTAGACATTCCTTTTTTACTTTAGATGGTTTAGTGTTGTTTTAATATATATTTTTAGCAAACACGCATTAGTTGATATTCTAAAGATTGATCTAAAAAAATGAAAAAAAGAAAAAGTCTTGGTCCGTTTTTTTGTATAGTCCTATCTGACAAATAGGAATGGTTTGAGAGTCTTACTCCCTGTGCAGTAAGTAAATGAAAAGGCATAGATTTTAAGGAAACTGATAACAGATGGGGGAAAATTAGCTGACTGAGTAGATTTGGGTGCATTTATGGAAATGATGGGATCCTTTGTGGATGATACGAAATGCTTAAGCTGACAGACTCACAGAGTGGATTAGCTTAACTTGCCTGTTGGAAGATATTAGACTTCCTCCTGTACTACAAGGGAGTTTTTATTCAGCTTACATGCGGGAACTGTGTATGGAATTCATGCACTACTTCTTTTTTTTGAGCTACTCCGGGATACTCAAAGGATAAAAAGGATGGATGTTTTCACTTATTTTTTCATTTGTATCTGCCCTTTTCTTCATGTAGGTATAGGCCCTTTGAGAGCAGATATATTTATAACATTTTATATTGCCGGGACTCACCCCACCTATATACAACATGGCCAATAATGAACAAGTAATTTTCTGAACAAGCAACATGGATTTGCTGAAGTCCATGCTTTAAAGCTCATGATACTCATTCTAGCAGTTTATTGATTCTTTTTTATGCCCAAATCTAAAGGGCTGATTTCTGGACCAAAACAATTGAGAAATAGCATGAAGCCTTTGGGCATCACCTTTTGTCTTCCACGTACACACTGGTGTTTATCTCCCGATATGGGCAGGACATGGTAATGGGCCCATCTCCCTGCCTCACTTGGCCTCCACCTTAGATCTAGTTGGTGGTGTTGAGCCTTTGAGATTCAGCTCATAGTCCATCCAGCCCGGGCTCTGGGCTGTCCACTCCACAGCCTCTGCAGACCCGGTAGGAGTGTGATTCTGTATTCTCAACTGCCTTCTACTGCCCTTTCAAGGGGGGGAGGCTGCCTGAGGGAAGGTGTGAAGGCTAGCTAATTCAGACCCAACTTATTAACTATACCGGCCTGCCATTTCTACTCTACTTTGTTATTGTTGCTACCCTCCCAGAGTTCCATGGAGCGGTGAGCACAGACCTCTTTGCTTTGAAATTTCCAAACTCCCATCAGGGACTCTCTGTTCAGCCTCTCTCTCCATTCATGGGTCTTGACCCCAGTAGGATCCCAGACAGGCCCGAGGTGTGTATGCACCCTCTGGCTTGCCTCTTTCTTGCTCCTGGAAGAGCTCTTCCCCTTCTGCATCTTCATGTACTGTATCTTAAGAGCAGTGACTCTGAGTCCTCCAGGTTCTAATTCTTGATATTTAAAGGACAGCTTTAGGAGTTTGGAAGACACTTATCCCACCCAGCAAAGCCAGGCTCTGGCTAATGAAAGCCTTGATTTTCACAGCTCTAGCCTGGCAAATGAGCAAGCCTGTTTGGGAAATAGAAGACTGAGCATGTCTCCTTTGTTTTGTTGTCCCTTGGAAGTCATGCAGCTGCCCCAGTGGGAGGAAGGCTTAGGAGCATAGGAAATTACTGGGAATGAGAAATACAGATGATAATATGTAAACATACTGTTCAGCATAGAATCAAATGTGAATCTGTAAATCCGAGAGACCTCCACTTCCCCTGCCCCAAATTTCCTGATGTTAAAACTTACTCATGACAGTATTCGAATGTGTGGAAGAAGAAAGTGGGGCTATAGAGAGAGCAGTGTGCTTTTTGATTATAGAAGCCGAATCTAGTTCCTTAAAACTACACTATTTTATAGACCCTCAAGTCTTTAGGACCTAAATCTGGAGATAATACTTGTCTAAAGCCAGGCCCTTGTGATTAGCAGCTACCGCCCCTTTTCCTTATGCGCTAGCTCCCTGGCTCTGTTACCCAGCTTTTGTTCATTTATTACATTTCATTTAAAAATTTTACTTGTGGGGTATAAGTGGCTCTTTGGCATAGAAGGCAAAATCCGTTTCAGCCTATTTTCTGAACCCTATGATCTTACATGGACAGCCCTTGGGTTTAGGATACTAAAAGTTTGCTCATTTAAGCCAAAGACTTCAATAAATGATTGACAACTCCTTTTCATAAACAAATGTAAATTCAGAAATTTGTTTTCTCAAGGCCACTAGGAGCAAGCTGCAGACTGAATGAAGAGCATCAGGGATTCAAACTGAGAAGGTCTTTGTTTCTTTTGTTGTTGTTAAAAACAAACAGAAGGACTATCACGGCTAGAGAATTGTATGAAGCTGAACTTTTTCATCTTGGAGGTTTGAGATTGATGCACATTAAGTCACTTGACGTATCTTACATCTAGCAGGACCCCACTAGTTTTTGGGAAACTGACAGAATGATCTATTATTTCTACGTATGTATCATGAACTGAAAAAGGTTCAGTCTTAA